GAAAACCAGAGTTTTCTAGAAAACCCATAGAAGAACACGTCACAAAATTCTATGGAAAAATACATCGATTTTCTTTTTCGATGTTCTATCTCTGTTATAAATTTCACCCCGATCCGATATCGGCGTCCCCGGTTTTCAAGAGGGTCAAAAAAAGAGGGGGGGGGTACCCTTAATGTCCACCCGTAACTTCAAAATTCTAAAGATATACAAGCATTTCTTGACCTGACATTGCGAGGCGCTTTTTGATGGGTGGGTAAGTAGTCATCAATCGAACTCAACTTTTTTATGGTCATTGGTCATTCCATCACGTACGCCCGAAATAAATACTTGTTTATTCTTATCGGTTGCCGAGGATGGCTATAATGAAATTCTTAAAACAATAAATGAAAAAATAACAGGAAAACATCTATTATGACGTTAGGGATCTATAAATTTTGAGGAACTGAAATAATTCGATGTTTAAGACTGTTAGTGCGAGACATTTAGTTAAAATAAAAATAAAAAACAATCTTAGAATGAACCTTTGCAAATGAAAGATATTTCATTAAAAACATTAAAGAAGGAGATATCTCTTTTCACACACACCTTTTGTCTGGTGTCATATGTGATACATGTCTGCATTTCTTGTCTTCTTTCTGTATTTGTGTTATGTCTGCTTTATAGTTTAAGTTAAATGTGGGGAATGTCCGCATAAAATATATCCTGTTTGAGAAGAGATATCTTTTTCTATATTGTTCAAACGAATTTTATTATTTCATAAAGGTAACTACAGTTTTTTTAACAGATAGTATTACTGAACACTAGACGAAATAAATCTGTTCTCTTGTTATAAAAAATCACTGTATAGAAGATAATCGTTTTATAGTCTGATTTTTCAATGTTATTTTTATGATTCTGTCTTATTAATTTTACTCTGCTCTTTTAACATGTATTACTAAAGAAGAAAGACAATACATTGAAGAAATGTAAATAAAAAAAAAAGCAAATCAACTTACACGGTTTGTATTAACTTTATTTGTCTTGCATTTTATTTATTTTAGATTCGAACAAGTTTTTAACAGAAAAAATGTCTGCAGTCGATCCCCCAGCAACAGCCGAAATACGTCTTCTATTAATCGGTCCTCCTAAAGTTGGTCAATCAAGTATAGCAAATATATTAGCAGGCAGAAATGTTTTTCCAATTGCAACGTCCAGTTCAACTTCCAAAACTGCTACTAGATCTCCAAGACATTATACAAATAAGACAATTCTATCAAACAAGCATTTACTAATTATTGATGCGTAAGTTTCTCATACTATTTTCTTTTTTATTCGATGAGACTTATGCGCTCTTAGTGTTTTCTCTTCGGCTTCCGGGTAACAAATGCTATTGATAATTTTGTATGTTTAGACCTCCTCTATTTGTATTAAAAAATGCAACATCGAATGAAGCCGAAATGAAAAGTCTAGCAGAATGCATTGCTTATATTAGTCCTGGACCACATGCTATATTCTTAATTCTTAGTTGTGATGATAAAAAAAATGATTTATTCGATATGGAAAAGATTGTCACTACAGTATTTGGTATGTTTTAAGAATAATCTGTTTTTTTTAAATTAGAAGTTGCATATTCAATAGAAATATATTAATCACAAAGACAAGTGCTGTCGTCTTCCTTTCTTTCTCTTATTCAAAATAACATGTATTTGTTTTATTTCTCTCTATCATTAGGTGCTGAAGCGTTGAAACAAGCTATTGTTGTTTTTACTAATATTGATAGTTTGAGAAAGAAAAATATTAGCATCGAAGATTTTATAAATAATCAATGTAAACAGCAGTCACTATTAGATGCTTGTGATAGACGCTATTTGGCGATTGATTCATCAACAAATGATTTAACAAAACATGAAACGTTTATAAAACATGCTCTTGTTCTATTGAATAATTTATGTGAAAAACAGACAATATTCAAGTCAGATATGTTTGATACCATTGAAAAAGAATTACAACATATAGAACATCACCGTTTACAAGATTTATTAAGGCCTGGTGCATCAGTAGTTGAACAAAAAGTCGTGAAACTAGCTGTGCGAGAACAATTGAGAGATGATATACATACTTACGGGGAAATATCTGATTCTACGTTTTTTACATTACAATCACATTTACAAACAATATTTAAATCGTTGTTACAAGAAGTAGCAAGATATTTTGAAGAAAATATTGCTAGTAGTTGAATTAGTTCCTATTTCTATTTCAATATTCGAATTTTTTATCTTCTATCTTCGCAGCAAGAAATTGAACTAAGATATTTCATAAACGCCATCATGATTACGCTTCTTCTCTTTTTAGCTGAAAGGTGTGAAAATATTGAAAGCCTCGCTTTCATTTTTCCAGACAGAGGCCAAAATACTTGTTTTGCTTCACAGATTATTTTCATTCTACATTCTCCTTCCAGTTTTTTTTCGACTAGAGAGGGTGGTATGAATCCTTCTGGTCTCTTTCATGGCTCCTAATCTGAGCTTAGCGTTATTGCTTCACTCTAGTTAATTTTCATTCACTAATCGTAACATAAAATTGTATTAGCTTCCAACACTGATATTCTTTTAAACCGTTGATTTGATCGATTTTTTTTAACGGCCGTTTTTTAATCTATATATTTTTTATCCCGTGACATAAATTTTTTTATTTGGCACTATATTCTGTTTTTCAAAATAAATATAATATTTATGAGATTAACCAGTATTTCTCCATTTCTTTTATTATAGATAAGCACATAGTTGTGACACAAAACAGAAGAGTTGGGTTTATTATCAACTATAGTAGAGACACATCTTTGCACTTTAAGTTTATATATTCTAGGAAATAAAATATATTTGATTAATTCATAAACTTATTAAAATTACGATAATTAAACTTTCTACACTATTTTTCATTGAAAAATTATTTTAATTTACTATTATTATTGTTATGAGATCTTATTTTCCTAATTTGCCTATTAGATAAATATCGAATAAAAAAGGTGCTTTAACAGAATTCTTTTCCATTAGCATGCTAATTTATATAAATAAGTTGATATAATGTCTTTTTTTTTGTTTTTTTTTTATTATAGATTGAGTGAATGTTATCCTCTAATAATAGTGAAAAAAGCTTTTTAAATAGTTTGCACATACAATGTTTCTAACAAGAAATTCATTCTGTTGTGACATGGTGAATATTTCAATACAAGTAAATCTATTACCTACTATTAGTGCTTTAATTTATAAATCCTCAATATAAGACTAAGTATTTTAAAAAAAGCCTACTTACATGGAGGACGAATCAAAGAATATATCTGTTACCATATTATTTTTGTTGTTGTCTCATAAACTTTCACATATCAAGCTTGTTAAACATATTTTTCAATCAAATGACCAACATTATCGTATAGAGAGAACAATGAGAAGAAGAAAAAAAGAAAAAAAAATGAATTTGTGTTCTTATTAAAATCAAAAAGAGTACATGAAAAAATGTTTGCTTGACAATTCAAAGAAACAAGTGACTATAAGTTTCAATAGATTGTTATTTTTTCATTGCACAGTTTTTAAGGACTAAACTCTATTTTGTTCATACACTTAGAAGAATACAGTAACATTTTGAAGGGTTTCACCAATTGGTCATATTCATTTGTCTGACAAAAATATTTTTTTTATAGGTGAAGTCGAAATTATGTAGATATCTATGAAATTGAGAATTGAATACATAAATTACTAAGATAAAAGAAAAGAAAACGACTATTAATGTATTAATTACATTGCAATTTCAAAAGATCTTTATTATCGTAGAAAACCTAAATCTTGACAAATGAACTTGTTTTTGGTTAGTGGTCGACGGGTACATTTTTTCTTAGTCTTATATTGTGATTTTAGATAAGAAATGAGTCGTTTATGGAAATTTGGTTCTATTTATTCTCGAGTCTGTGGTCTAATCGAAGGTGGTCAAATGAAACCAAATGATCGTCCTCTTTGGCTAGATGTTTATAAACATTATCCACCCCATCGTGAGCCAAGATATCTTTCGTTGACAGAAGGTATAAGTACAAATATTTTATATTTGTTTTAATCAACCATATAATTATATTCTAGGTAATACACCATCTTCTTATGATCCACCAAAATTATTGTACGAAGAAGATAAAATTCGTGCACAATACTATTCGGATGTTGATGATAATGAGATAATTAAACTACAATCGACTAATAATCGAAAAACACGTTCACAAATATTTATCGAACAATATAGTCAATTAAAACAGCAGGGTATAAGTGGACATAAAAATTTATTTCGTTTAACATTAGAAGCTATGCAACAAAATGGTCATCCAATTATGTTCAAATTAAATGTTGAATCAAAATATGATGAAGATGAACAACAATCACTAGTACAAGATACTCTCTCTTCGACAAATAAAAATTTAAATCTAGTTGATGCCGAACATGATGTTAAAACAGAATGGGAACGTAACAAAGAAGAAGGCTTTTTTCCACTTGGATCTACAACCTATCAATATCGTCGACTACAACCGACACGTCAACAAACAACCATTCAACAAGAAGCTGTCTCAGATGGAAATGTCACATATCGACGTCCAGATTTATATAAACATTCAACGGTTGAAGGTGATTTAGTTGAACAATTAGAAAATCCATTTATGCCTGGTGAACCAATTCAACCGTTGGCCCCCATGAAATTAGCACATAAAAATTTGAATTTGCACGGACCAAGACGAAATATATTTGATCGAACAGAATATGAAAAAGACCCATTTTTAAGATTACAAGATAAAGCAAAAGAAGCTGAAATTTGGAAAAGACCGTTACAGCATACAACCGTTAAAAAACGAAAATTTGCAGCAAAAAGATTTTTAGTCGATATCCCAGACATTTACGATAAAAATTAGAAATTTTGTTATTTTAATAAAAAAATCTTTGTATTATTAGGTGGTTGTTCTATTGATCATCGAAACAATAGACATGCAATTATATCTTCGTTTATCTTTTACAAATTTATTTCAGAGGTCATAAATTCTCTTTTCAGATTGTTTTTTCTCTGATGGATACAAATTCAAGTGTAAAATTTTTTGATTGTTTAGTATCTAATTCATGTTTGAAAGGTTATGTTGAATTAAATAATACTGTCTGTCCAATTAACATTATTGACAATAATTCAACAAACCCAATAATCAATTTATCCGTTATACCACGTCTTGCCATGTTTGATCAATTACTTCATAAGAATTCATCTAAACCAGTTTCATGTTATGACTCAATTCCTACTCAATCATCATTTATTTCATCAACACAATCCTTACTCTTATTAGTCGAACAATTAGAAGAAATTGGATGGAAATCCATTCGCTTAGACGAATCAATAGATAATAAATATTTAGTAATATTATCATATGAGTGTTATGATCGTAGTGACCGATTACATCAACTAAAATTTCTTATACCACACAGTTGGCCAAATGAAAAGCCGAAATATATTGCTGATTTGCCAAATGAATTTGATTGTTCATGGATAATCAAACAAACACGTCTTATACATGTTATTGAATCATTTCAACAAACAATTGATTTATATCAAGATTTATGGAATCAACTTGATCAAATTGATTCAGAATATATTGTATTAGATGCTCAACAACAAGAAACAAATAAAACATCTAAATTCTCCATTTGTTATAGAAAAATAATGATAACACCCAATATCAATATTTTTGTACAGGTAAGATCCCAGAGCCGTTAACTAATCATGCCAGAGTACACAATTGGCTCCCAAAGATAGTCGTTCTTGAAATGGAATGGAGAGTGAGATTTTGTTATCCTGCAGCCACCAGTAATGATTTCGTTTCATAGATAAACTAAGTAGGTAGAATTAAAACTAGTTAGTTTTTAAAAGCATAATTGAATGTGTTTCGCTTCCAGATAAATCCGTTTATTCCCAATGGTTTTCCTGTAATGAAATTGAATGGTCCCACATCGTTAATTCAAAATTTAGACATTAAACTTCAATTAAATCGTTCGAAATGGACTGAATCATATGGAATACCAACAAATATTGAAGAAATACTAGACTTAACATTACCACGAAAAGATAATTTGTTATTATTTGGATTATCTCAAACAACTGAAGTAGAATGTGGAATATGTTTATCAAATATACACGTGGATAATAGCAGAATTGTCTATTGTGAAAATGTGGCCTGTTTAAAACAATATCATTACGACTGTTTAAAATCGTGGTTCAGAAAAGGACGCTCAACAAACCAAAAGGGACAACAACAGCAATACCAATTACACGGCATTTTGGCTAATCAAAAAGATTCATTGATTAAAAATGGACCATGCATTTATTGTAAAATGAACATTGTTTGCAAATAGGAAAATAAAGAGAAAGATTTTAAAACTATATTGAACCAGTGGCGGATCTACGTGAGGGCGAAAGGGTGTATCCCTCCCCACCCCTTCCAAATTCTTCGCGCACTAAGAAATCCGCAGTTTCTATCTTTAATGAAGGTTTCGTTTAAAAAAATTCAGAAAAACTTACACTACTTCAAACGCGAACTTAAAAAGAAACACACTGCCTTAGAGACCGTCCAAAAGAAATTGTCTCTCCCTTGAAAAAATCCTAGATCGGCCACTATACTGAACTGCATACATCTGTGAAAAAACCTTAATTCTATGTATGGATCGTTCGCTCAAATTGTGAAGATATGTGTTTTTCTCAGATACGTTAACCTCAAGCTAAAACGTGACAAAAAGTTTAGAAGATAGCAGCAAGGTAAAATATATTTATATTCTTAATGTTCAATTTCTTGTTTACAGATCTGGTACTGCTAAAGACCAAATTATAGAGTGCCAGTTGCTTATCTGATGGTATATTTTGTCTTTTTACAAACTATTATTTTCTTATCGGATTGGACTGGACTGGACTCAGACTCTCAAGACCATGGACTGTTCTGGACTTCAAAAAAGTTTTTGTTTCACTTTAATCAAGGAATAATCAGTAAAAAACGTATTGTTTTTGTGTTGTGGACTGGAATGGACTATTCTTTTTTTTTAGAGTCCGTGGACTGAAAAAGCTGTTTTTCATGGACTCGGACTGAACTGTACTAGATTCTTTTAGTCCATGGACTGGACTCAGAATTTGGAGTCCATACGGAGCTGTTACTTATTATCATACCAAAATGTGATTTGAAGTACTTTGGAGACAAATGATGGTGATTACTCTTGTTTTTTGCTGCCTCTTCCCTTCATATCAACTTTCGAGCCTCTCCTTTCATTGATGTCAAATTTTACAACCTTTTCCAATTCACAATTCTCCAGAAGAATGTTTTCAATGATAGAAAGTTGATATTATCTGTTGCGGACTCCTTTCTTTCTCTATATCAACGCTTACTCTCCATCTGCTAATAGATTGATATCATTTGCGTACAGTCCTTTCTTTCAATTTTCGGATATATAATACATTACAATAAAATATTTAATAAGCATGAATCTTACACATTCGATAGAAAAAAGGGATTTAACTGACGATTCTACTACAAAATGTAAGCGGTATATCAAATGTTAGATCCCGCTATGTGTTATAAAATTTTATAAAGATACAAAAAAAATTAAACATAAATTAAGCTTCAAGTGGTTTGATCCTATCTACCATTGTATCAAACAATGATTCTCTCTCTAACATGGATTCTGTCAAACTTTGAGTTTTTCGTCTTAGATCATCATTGTTTTGAAATCGAACTAGACTAAATTGTTGAATATTTGATTCTCTAGCACGAATTTTTGCTACACGTTGTTGAGCAATTGCCAATCGATCACTGGCATCTTTCATTGTTTGAATATCTAAGTTTTTTCGTTCAATATTTGACAGTGCTCGTCGTACATACGTTCGTTGTTGTAAATATTTTTCAATTAAAGCTGTTTGTACTTGATTATGATCACGTTGTACTTGTACAAAATCCGACTTTTTCTGTTTATCAATCTCATTTTTCACGTTTCGTTCATGTTTTTGTAATGCATTTGATATTGATATGTGTTGACTATTCAATGCAACACTAAACGCAATCATTTGTCGACGTTTTTGCTGTTGTTCATATAATTGTCGACGTTGTTCTTGCACATGATCGTGTAATTGTGATTGAGAATTTTCCATTTTACGACGAATGTATGTCTGATGAATACGCTCATGATTTTTTGAACGATGAATGCTTTGCAAGCGATCTTGATTCAAATGCTAAAAAACAAAACAAAAATTAGTTAAACGTTCTGAAAAAGACGTATTTTTATGTACTTTTAACTGTGAATTAATAAAATTTTGTTCTGTTCGTGTCTGTTCAATTTGTTCAGCATTTAGTTTTTTTTGTTCAATTTTATTTCGATCCGCATAGGCTTTATCAATTGCGACCAAACATCCAAATGCCATACTACCATGAAGTGTACGAAGTAGACGATCATCAAATGTATCAATTTTTGATTGTCGATGCATGGGAATATCACGAATCTAAAATAAATATACATTACATTTCCTCCAGAAGAAACTTATAATGCTGACTAACCTCTGCTTTTTTCTTTCGCTGATGACTATTATCTTTGATTGATTGAACATAGGCTCGTGCTACACGTATCTCATCATTTAGCTCTTCGATTGGTTCATAAACAGTTAATTGTGATTTTTGCCCTTGTAAAATGCCAGGAGATGATGTGTCTTGTTCACTAACTAAATCATCAGAATATTTATTTTTTGATATTGAATATTTTGAAGTAGTAGTTTTTGTTTGTCGAGTATTTGCACGCGCTTTGGTACCAAATTCTGATGGTGAATGTACATGATCAAAATACATGGGAAGTTTGTCATTGGTTGAGTCATTGATTAAATGATCCATATGAAGTGTTATTCGACGATTTTTATTATTTCCATCAGTCGGCGTCTAAAATAAGATGAAATAAATGTTTATTAAGTATCATACATAAAAAAACACGCTATTCACCACGCTTTTCTCCTTTGACTTTCTGTACGTTTCAAGAAATTTTGGTAATGGCCTAAAGAAAGTTTAAACAGATAACGAGAACTATCCAATGTATAGGAGTTTACGTACCTTCCTTGAGCTAACAATTTATTTAATAACTGTTTTTGTTGTATCCATGTTCGAAAATTTTTTTGTAATATTAGTACAGGACAATAATGTGATTGAGTATAATTAATTTTTGAAATAAGAGATTGTATTGTATTCAGTTCATCACGAATTGAACTATTCTAAATAAATAATAAGTTTATTTTGACGTAAAAAGATCATTGGTTTTTATTCGATCTTACTTTACCAGTCACAATATAAAGATTAAGTTTAAATGGTATTGAAAATGCGGTGTATGGTTCGGGAAAATGTGTTTTTTCAATAATTTCATCATCGGCTAAAATAAATTGATCTAAAGCCTATAATAATAAAACAAATGAAATGAAAAGAAAACAGTGTTAATAATTGCACATACTTTCAACGACCAAATACTGTTAACAACATGATGTCGATAATTCTTCTTTAAACTCAATGGTGTATCGTGCATTGTGAGGACTTCAAGAGATGGTGAACTGCTCAAATTTTTTACATCGTCATAGGATGACAGCAAGTTGTCATGTAAATATAAGATTTTTAGTTTAGTTAAACTTTGCCAAAAATATCCATCGGGTAAACTAGCGATCTAAATAAAACACGATAAAAATATAAATTTTATTAAACAGATAAAGTTTTTTGGTAATATACAAAACAGTACTATCTTACCCGATTACTGTGTAAATCTAATTTAACAAGGAATGTACAGTTAGATAATTTTTCGATTGATGCGATAAAATTACAGCTTAAATCTAATATTTGAAGATAATGATATTGTGATACATCGCCAACAGAGCTTAATTGTAATTTTGACAGAACTAAAACTGCAATAGTTTGTGTAGTAAAATTTTGACTATTTGAACGATTCTGCTTTCTTATGTAGTCATCAATAAATTTCAATGTGGGTGAATGCAAATATCGTTCATCGATTTTATTTGAATAATGCCGTTGAGGTGAATTTCCAGGCGAAGCCGATTCATTGATATCATTGACGGTCAATAGCTCCATTTATATAGTGGTTCCTGATATATTTTCCATATTTCAGAAGCAATTTTTTTTTTCATCTAATAATCGCCATTATATAGTTCATCTCTGTAACGATAACCTTTAACGTATCAAAAAGCATATGCTAGTGACATCATCTTTACTGAAGAACGATATTATTTATTTTAAATCTAAAAATATTTAAGTTTTCTCAAATTAAAAAATTGTATTGTTACAATTAATTACAGTGAAATTAGCATTCAACGGAGTTCGCTTAGAGGCATTCATATCAACATTTTCTAGTGTGATCCTTACTTGCAGTTAAAATTGGAAACGTTTTTCGAGAGACGAATGAACGAGTTAAAAGCTGTGGGAGCAAATACTTTTTGGGAAATTGATTTCTCTGTATAAAGATCATTTTGAATTAATTTAAATTAAATTAATACTGAAAGTAAATATCAGAGTATCTTTTCGGTACTTATACATAGAATTTTCGATTTTTATCCGCTTTTACACACCGGTGAGTGTGTGTAATTTGCGACGAATCAAGGTTAAATCCTCGTTTGTCTGTAGTTCTATATACGCTTGCAATAAACAGACAAAACCGAGTCAAAGGTAGGAAGATATTACGACTATATGACAAATTCAAAGAAATAAATTCTTAAACGATATAGATCTGATATCCCATGTTTATCAAACCGGCAAAAAACCGCCAATTGATCGTGGTTAAGCATCCAGTTGAGTGTGCGCTTTACAATCTGGTTAACCGCAATTAAGCGGGAACCGGCACAAGATGCTCGGTTAACCGTGGTTAATTGACGGTTTTCTTGCTGAGCAAGCTATATGAGTACAAATCCTCTTCTGAACATTTTTTCTGTTTTCTTTTGAGTGTGCGTTCATGTGTTCCATGCAGTAAAACTGTCGGTTAGTCAAAGTCCATACCGGTGAAGTTTTGGACTGACAAGACTGCTTGCCAAGACTCTTAGATGCAATCCGAAAGATATTTAGACTAAGTCGAAGTTCACACTTCAATAAGTCATAGAAAACATTCCGAAGTTTTTGATAAATCATGTTGCCCTTATATACATATAGTGACCACAAAACAAAACGGTGATTGAAAAAGATACGGTTAACCGTCGGTTCTCCGAAATAACGCGCTCAATTGGCGGTTAATTTTCCAAACCACAGTATAAATAATACCGACGGTTAACCGCGATTAATTGACGTTTATAGCAAACCGCGGGCAATTGGCGGTTAACCGACGGTTTTCTATAAAAATAGACGACGTGGGATAGATGGAAAAAGATTTTCATAAAGTTTGCATTCGATTGAACGCTGACAAAAAGTGGGAAAGCTATTATATAAAAGAGTTCATTTTAAGAAACTTGTTTCGCTTGGATAATACTCGTCTTCTCCCTAGCTTTATATTCAAAATGGAAAAAGTTTTCACCGTTACTAAAAAAAAAAGGTATTTACATTTATTATAAAACTCGTTTTTAGCATGCACATCCATTTGACTTATAAAAAAACAAGTCTGATAGTTTCCGACGATTTGGAGATATATTTTGTCAAACAAGTTTTGTCCACTATTCTGGAAGTGACAAAAAGATTTTTTCATGTAAAGCGAACCCCATGGGATCGAAGTTTATAGTTCATAGGAAATTGAAGAACAAATATTTTCACTTTTTGAAGAAATGTCTGCATCATTACAGTGTGAGCGAGAGGGGTCTTTCCAGTATTCTTAGATTCATGAGCTTAAGGATAGCCAATACTGTTTAGTGTACCGCTTTCAACTTTAGCTGAACACAACCCTGTTATATAACATGAAACAATCACAATCTCAAGACCATATTTTATAGAGTTAGAATAAACTTACACGAAGGTTTAAGATGGATATTTTAGATTTCTTATGGAACACCCATATTTAAGTCAACCCTATGTTAAGATTAAGTCGAGACTTAAGTGCTTCTCTATAAAAAAAAGTCTTTTACTGGCTTATTGTGTCGGTACCGATGCCAGATCAGTGCCGCACTAAAAAATATTTTATAAGGTGACTTAAGTCAAGAACTACTTCAAAATATTGATGAAATAATCTTCAGAAATGTGATATATAACTTATTTTAACTATATTTATCTATAATTATTTCGTGATTTCACAACAGTTTGAAAAAAACAAGCAACAATTAGAAAACAAAAATACAAATGGTAAATTTTGTACATGGTTAATGTTATGCTGAGGTCAAAAGCATTCTGGAATAAAAAGAAGCCAACAATTGATTTATAACTGAAAAGTCATAAACAATAAACATCGAAAAAATAAAATTGTTCACCGAGATTCTTCACAAGATCAACAGAAATTGAAACGAAAAACAGTGGAGCAATGGTGTATGAGTTAAAAATCCTTAAATAATTGAATTTCATATTTTGTTGCTACTGGAATCATTTTTAAGTCAGTTTCATCATAACTATCAAAATTTGTCGTATCACCTGGATTTGCGACGACCGGCCGAATTGGTGGTTTATATTTCAATTCTATCACGTCTGTCCAATTAACACCAACAAACCATTGTTCACGTTTGATCTCATCACCACCATTTCTTGCCGAACCCAATCGAGATTGTTGATCGACATTTAATAATTTTCGTAGTAATTGTTTGGCTGCATAGTCAAAGTAGCGTGGAAAATCAATTTTTCCTGATAATATTTTTTGATATGTAACAAATTGATCTTGATTATAAAAAGGCGGATATCCTACAGAAAAACATTAAGGTATAGAAGATTGAACTCTTTTTTTTCGCAACAAAAACGAATATAGTTTCTTTTTTTCCAGAATTTGTCTCGATATAAATTATTATATTTACTGAACACAACAGTTTAGGAAATTACTTTTAGACACACATACCTGCTAACATTTCGTAAATCAATATTCCAAGTGCCCACCAATCTGATGCTTTGTGATGACCACGATTTTGAACAACCTCTGCAAGAAAATGTTGTAAATGAAGAGAACTGGGTAGAAAAGTTAGAGTTATATACCTGGTGCTAGGTAATCGACTGTGCCACATAGAGTAAAAGTTCGCTCACGTGTTTCTTTAGCAAAACCAAAGTCGACAAGACGAACATGTCCATCACAATCTAATAAAATATTTTCCTAAAACCACAAAAACAAACTAAAACTAGTAGATAATTGAGAGAACGTGGTTACTTAAATCTACGTTAAAAAAGATAATTAACACATTATACATTTGAACCGTTTCTAAGAGTGCTGTTCATATTATAACGTGTTAACAAGTCACTTACTCTCAGAGTCTAGGAAAATTGTTTCCATAATGAAATACATAATGGGGTAAGGCTTTTTTTGTTTCTCTATTTTATAGGTTAATCATGTTTCAAACTGTTTTTAAGTAATATCAGAAAATACGAATTTCTGAACTTTAGTCTTTTACTAGTTGCGTACCGGTTTTAAGTCTCTATATAAAATGTCCAAGTGATGAAGATAATCGAGAGCTAACAATACTTCGCTAGCGTAAAATATAGCTGTTTTTGCATCAAATTTTTCTCGTTTTCTCATCATTTGAAATAATTCACCACCAGGACAATATTCTAGTAGTAAACAGATTAGTCGATCAGTGTGGGTGGCCCATTGTAGTACAACGATAAATGGATGTTTTATTTTGGCTAATATATATTTTTCATTTCGAACATGTTCCACTTGTTTCGATTCAATAACACGTTTTATTGACATTGTTTTAAGAGCATAAAATGTATTTGATTCTGTATGTCTGACTAACTGCACACGACCGAATGTTCCTAAACAGCAGAGAACGAGAGATAATAGAAGATATAAAATATTTAATGGAAAATGAAAAGTGATGAACCAATATTTTTCTCCTGTTGCTGCTCAAAAAACAGTAATAAAAATCTACTTACCAGTACCAACTGTTTTCATATAATCAAATGATTCTAGAGAAAATGTGTTTGATGATGGTTCTTCTAGATTATCTGTTAATGTTGCATCGGCGGACGGAGATGATGCCGATGTTTGTGCTAAATCAGTATCGCATCGTTGATTATCCATTAAATCTGTTTCATTATCGTTTGCATAAGATATAGTGGCTAAAGCAGTTGATGGTCGTTTCGTTGTTGTTGTTGCTGTTTGTTGAGCGGGATGGGGGGTCATAGGTTTCTTAATTTTGGATGTGAGTTGTGACGGTGATGATGTATGAAGGAAGGATATGGAATGATTGAAGGATTTGTTATTTGTTTCAGTATTATTTAAATGAAATTTATTCGTCAATTTTTCTATGGATTTTGAACTGACCGCTTGTACACTCGTGGTCATTTGAAAACCAAAACACCTGGCAATATTGCGAACACTAAAATAAAACAAATACATCTTTTTTCTCAGACATTTGCATTCTATTATCCGTATTATAGACTGTTTTGAAGAAACGATGTTTATGAATGATTAAATGGAAGATGGTTGACCGAAAAACTACATGGAAAATAAAACTAACACGCGAAATAAGAACTTCATATTATATCAGTTTATGAAAAAAAAAGAGAACAAAACCTTCTTTTAATCTAAACACGCTAAGTTTAGTGACGAGAAAAAAAAGAAAATGAAGCTTTTCTGATTTAGTTTTATACTTTAATGAACCTGAGAAAATATACATATTAATTGTTTTACATGCGCAAAGTAAAAGAAAAAAAATCTCAATTCCAGTAGCAAGCGTATGCCAATACTCTTATTTCTTTATACTTTTTGGGATTAGTTCTTAGTAGAAATGAACTAAAAAAATTTAATTTCAGCAGCAAATCTTGAGCAAAATACTTATTAGATGTACTATTGGAGAATTTTTTTCTTTATTTCTATATAAATTGCTAATCAGACAGATTTATCCTTAATTAAGTTATTAAAAATTAACATACAGTTCCTTTTTTCTTTATATGTGATTTGAGATAATGAGGATTGATTGATTCTGATTATGAACTGGAAATTGATGAGTACTCATTAACGATGAGGATATTTACATTAGTAGATAGGCGGAAGTCAAATCAGTCTTCATAGTTGGCATAGCCTTTGTTCGACTAAAAACGGCTTAATCTATCCCAACTATTGCAAACTCTGTAGTAGCAATTACCCATTTTTTCTTTTTGTTCGTTCAATAATGTTTCAGTTCTACTGTAGAGTGCAAATTTCAATTGGCTAGTATCAGAGATGTTTGCTTCAGTTAAAACTTCTAAATTTGAATATAAGCGATATTGTACGCTGGGAATAGACCATATTTTATCAATAATTTATCGATAGAAGATAATGTGTAATCACACGATATAACGCAGACCACTTACTCCCTATAGACCTTTTTTTATACAAGATACCAATACAAAATAGCATAATTACAGAATTTATGAATTTGCCCTGTGTTCCTACACTGGTCAACGATTCAGGTTTTTTGTTTTTTTATTTCATTTATCGACTTGGGATCGTTGTCGTATACGGCTCGTAAATTATGAGAGTGAGCTAAATTTCTAAATTCTGAAATTTTTAGGTACTAAATATTTATAAATGAAAATTTCTAGATTCTTTCGGAATTTCTTAGCTGCATATGAACATGTGCAATAATGTATACAAGGAGGTTGTTTTGGGAAGAAAATCTCAAATTTAGAACTTTGGCTTACGATGAACAGTCCTCGTTGATATAATACTGTCTCATATAAAATGTTCTATCATTTCAAGTGTTCTGAGCGACTATCATAAAACAGTGTACGCATGCACCGGGAGTAAACGGTAGAAAGGCATCTAGAGTACTCACAGATAACATTTTGGTATGGTAAAATCTATGAACCCATTATGGTACACAATTTGTGATAGAACTTGTATTGTTGCGTATAAACAAGTATGCCGCCTACTTTTTATGAGAGCAATATAGAAGATGTTTTTCCATTTGAAGTATCACTATACTACAGACATACACACACATGCAATTATTAACATTGTCGTCTTTTGTTTCTTCGAGGACAATTATTATTATTTTTTATCCTACAGACCTTTTATGTCTCTTTCTCAATTCATCTCCCTTGCCTGTTTATTTATATGAGCATAAAATAAAAGAATAAAGGCACTAGAATGATTTTTTACATTTAATACATGCATCAAATATGAACTTTTATTCTTTCTCTCTCTTCCTATTAGTTAAATCAAAGTAGATTCAAGTTTCGTCACACAATAGTTTGTTTCACAAATTTTTGAAAAAGAAAGAAAAACTTCATTTACAAAATGTTGCCACTTTAGTAAAAGCAACTAGTAGACAGTGTTATTGAAGAGCCAAAAACATATCTCAATCTTTTGAAAAGATTTAAAAAAAGAACGGAAGAAGCGAGACAGAGAAAGAGTCATTTCAGTTACTGTTTTAACTTCTTTCTTTGGACATGTATAGCTACCTCGTGTTACAATTTATATAATAATAGTAAGAACGAAGATGATGAAGAATTTTTTTTTCACTTACATTCCAACTATACTATTACCAAATCGTTAATAGTAGAAGTACGATGAAGACAGAGATGTTGAAGGAACAAATAATTTTGACTTTTTCTACTCTATTGTGATATGCAAATAAATTGATGAGACTTCATACTAAGGGTTGATGTATGGCAGTTTCTTTCGATGTAAAGTAAATACATCTTTATATGCGAATATTAAATTTCCGACACTTTTTATTCAATGATTCTCAAAGCATAATCAGTTCAAGTTCTACAGCCACACTTTTAGTTCAAACCTATCTATTTTCTAGATGCACTACTGTAAAGTAGAAAATTAGTTATAGAAAAAAAACAGCAATTTTCTACGAGTACCTATATATATTCTTAGAAGATTTCTCTTTTTTTTAGAAAATCAGATTTTCCTCCTCCTCCTCATCAGAGTACCTTTTTATATAGGTACTCTGAGAAAATCGCGTACAATTTCGTTCGAGAATTATTTTCCAACTATTTTCTACTTCTTAGAATACGTCTATCGATTTCTGCTTTGATTATAAATAAATTGCCTCGTTCCATCCATAAAGGATTTGGAGAAGAAACAAGGAGCCTGATAATCACACTCCATACTTCTTATAGTACTCAATGAACGTTTGCTTCTTAACGTGCCAAAACAGTCATCGTATGTCAGAAAACGTGTTTGACTCCTTAAAAACACATAAGCTGGATTTCTTTTTTGAAGTCAAATGGCGTGACGTTAATATACACAAAACAGAGATCAAATCTCTACAAAAAAGCAAAGGTAGAAGGCTAAACTTCTTACATAAAGTCATAGACAAAAGCGATTAGCTACTCATGTCACACACAGAAAAAGTCCAATACTATTCAGTTAGTCCTATTACTGTTCTTCTCATTTTACTCATATTTTATATTTTAAATATCTAAACAAAAGCACACACACAAACAGAAATCATGTTAATCGTCATTTTTTATGAACAGCTTTTCTAATAACTACGTACTCTGCAAAACTGCCTTCACGATCCAGATCGACGATGCTACCACCAGCACCGAAAAATAATGGACCGATTTTCGCTGAGTTACCAGACAGATCAATTTTTCTCACAAAACTTCACACTTCATCTCATTTGGCTTGCAAATCTGATTTTAATCTGAAGCCACAGACATTCACTACAAAACAAGGTTGTATGAATTTCTTGTGTAAGACTTCCGTTATGGATAGCTGTATCTATAGACGACCGAAAAAGAGAGACATAACTCATATTTTTTGCTCGCACGCAATGAAAGATCGCTCACGTTAAAAGAGGCCGACACTAGCAAAGAAGTGAGAATATCATTTATGCCTGGAAAACAAAAATACCAAACATGCAGCCTTAGTAGTTATTATTTGAAGAGCGTGGTGGTCTCAAAAACACTACTCAAGAGCATTTTATATAGCAGAGTTTCTACCACAGAAAGTCACAAAACTCAGACAAGTAATCTTTTATAGTGATTGAAATTTACGAAAAAGATACTCTGTAATATAATCTTTTTCCAGGCAGTATCCACGTAAATAATTTGACAGTCGTTTGACAATCTTTAGCGTTAATTGATATCTTTTGGTTGTATTCATTCTATCTCTCTCCGTACTTCGAAAGTTATCATTTTCCACATTCTCTGGACTCAAACGTAGACAAATGATTTCATCAGTTGATTTGTAGTCATTTTCGAAATACTGATTCATTTTTTGTAGAAAGTCTATCAATTTTTGGATAAAATCACAAATTTTTTTGCATTTTATAAAATCCATACAGATTTTTCTTCCAGAAATTCAACGCGATTTTTCTTCTAGAAAACGTTGATTTTCTACTTCGGACGATGTTATAACTGCTTTAAAATCCTCAGGGATTTTTCAAGTCGATTTTCTGTAAATTAGAAAATAAATTTTTTTTACAGTGTGGAAATGAATATAAAATGTTGAATACAGAAGTTGTGTATAACACTATAGAGATTAAAAGAGAAGTTTTGTGGGAAAACCGATCTTTTATTTAATAAAATTAAGTTTCAATAATGATTTTTGCCAAGTTTTCATTGTTTTTTAACGGCAAAAGCATTATATTCATAAAACTATTAACAAAATTCTATTAGATGATGTCCCTGACGACTGCTATTAATATGTGGTTAAGTATCAAAGAAACGTCAACCATAAATCCAATCAATTATGCGTCAATGTTATTAGAATTGTGGAAGAACAATCTAACAATAAAGCTAAGATGTATCTAGTTTTCTATGGCTCACCGCGCTCTACTAGATATGTAATTAAAATCTTTTTTGCTAGAATTTTAATTTTATTTAAAAAGGGTGCACTATTCAAGACCGTCGATAAAAGTTAGTAACTAGAGCGTAACCAAAGGAAATAGTGACTCTGTCACTTTTTTTATAGCATTGGGTCAGAAAAAAAATATAGATCTACGGTGTTCAACCTCATATACCCAGGTGATTCAACATGGCCTGTAAACGGCCGTAAAATCGTTGTACGATCCCGTAATCCTATGCTCCATAATACTGCCGCCATAAACGTGCGTATACGGGTCTGTTATGACCGTAAATGGTCTCGTAAAAGGTTGTTTACGGCTGCAGTGTTATGGAGCATAGAATTGCGGCCAAATTACATCGAGTTACGGGCATATACGGCGTGCTACATTA